TATGCCAGGGAAAAAATAAAAAATGTTTGAGTGATTTTGTGACAAGAGTACAACAAAAATAGTTATCACTCACGTAACATACTCGCACAATAGTCGGAGAAGATGATGACAAGCACAAACGCTCAAATAGAGGCAATCATTATCTCCTCCAATAAGTAGAAAGCCAAAGTAAGGTTCTCAAGATAAAAATGATGTATCAAGAAGGGGTCCAAGAGCAAATTAGAAATATTCAAACTTGAAGATGATGAATTCTTGAATTACCTAAATCAACATGTGATAATTCTCCTTTTGGTTTTGTTGAAGTTATCCAAATCATGAGTTTATTAGTAAACTATTGATTCTACTAATTCTTGGTTATTGACTATCTGCTTAATTATTTTTCATGAACAATAAGTAATGTATACCACCTAACTTATAGCTGACGTCTAACTAGCAAGAGAGTTCAAAAACTTGTTTACAAAAACTGACAAAGACATGACTAATCTGTATGATTTATTGGAGTTCATGATTTTTAACATCAACAATGAGTAATATTTGATGCCCAAAATGATTCACATGCAACGTATATGTGTACCAACTACTATAAAAAATGGACAATAACAACAAGACAATAACAGTAACAACAACACAGTAACAATAAGACAGTAACAGTAACCACGGTACAATAACAACAAGACAATAACAGTAACAGCAACACAATAATAGTAACAAACTACACAACAACAGTAACAGTCACTATCGTGGTAACACGATCACATTAACAACAATGTCGTAAGAGGCGATGGTTGTGAATTGAGGTTCTATAGAAGGTGGCAAGGCTAAAGTATAGAGTGGTGATGGACTAGACAATAACACGATCACAGTAATAACTAAAATCACTGTTAAAATTCTACAAAACTAGACAGTAATGTAAAGTAAATAGCCACATAATCATAGTAATAGCCACATTTCCTATCAAAATTCTATGAAATTAGACAGTAACGTGAACTACACCTCTACAAGATCATAATAATAGCCATAATGACAATGACAGTGAAAAATATAGTGAATTTCATTGTCATTGTTCAAATTTTACTATCCAACAAATTTAAATATAATAAAATAACATCAAAATTTACAATTTAACCTAAATATTGGATTTTTTGAGGCCAGTCCACAGTTGTGGACTTTTGGGACAAAAAGGACATGAATGTTCTTTTTAGGGCTTAAAGGACAATTAAAGGCATAAAAACTAATTTACTCTTAGTGACATAAATAACTATATTACAAAATGGAAAGTAACAGCGACACAGTTACTATCACAATAACACAATCACAATAAGAACAATGTCCGTATGGGTGGGATATAAAGGGCGACGACTGGTATGGAGTTGCTTTGGAAGATAGCAGGGCTGGGGTATAGAGTGGTAGTGAATTAAACAATAACACGAGCACAGTAACAGTAACACGATAACAGTAACAATCATAATCACTATCAAAATTCTATGAAACTAAACAATAACGTAAAGTTGATAGTCACACGATCACAGTAATAGCCACAATTACTATCAAAATTCTACGAAATTAGACAGTAACATGAACTAGACAGCTACATGGTCACAGACAACCACTAATAGAACGGTTCATAAATTTAAACAAAAAAAACACATAATTTTTCCATCTATATTAGAACAAATTCAAGATCAATATATCAAAACAACCAAGTAAAAGTGGAGATCTAAAAAATTTTTGCACAAAAAATAATAAAACACTTAACTTATGCATTTCATCGAACACTATTTGGGCATAACATATAAATTGAAGAACGTCATGGGCATTCATTATCCATTATAGTTCAAAATAATTCACACGATTGCCTCTGATAATTTAATTGATAAAGTTGTATACTAAAAGCTTATTTTTGTAGTGAAACTTATTTTATTAATTAATAAAAAAAAATTTATTTTATTTGTATTATATTTGATATATGGTATGAATGTGTGTCTTATATTTTACATTGTAGATAATTTGATGTGTAGAGTTCGACTTATGCACAAAAGATTAGATTATCAGATTCTTGTATAATAGAGTATAAGTTCACAATTGTAGGTTGAATTAGATACATCATCAATATGATTGTAGTGTAATATTCTAACATAGTCTGTTTTGACTATAGGAGACTACTGTTTGATGTCTCAGATCATTGCACTAGTACACTTTGTGAATTGAACAGACCAATGTTGATATTATTATCTTTTATTGATTGAGTAAGATAATAAATACTGCATGATTATTATGATTGCTTATGCACTTAATTCTAAAGTATTTAATTGTCACATGCATATAATATTTGTCACTTTAATTCATCAAAGAGTGAGATTCATATTGAGTCAATAAGTTCGGTGAATTGAGAGACGATATTATTTATAGGGTGAAAATTAATTATTAAAAGAAACCACGCCTTAATATTTAAATGAGTTGATGATGTCCTCTTGAGGAAGCTCATAAGTTTTATTCATGTCAAACCCTGTAGATGAATTTAATTATCCGACATGGCAAATAAGTTGAGTGGTAAGGTGTCAAAGAATAAAAAAAGTCAATTAAATATAATTGTCAGTAGTTTATTTAATTGATAGATATTTGTAATCTAAAACGTGGATAGATTATAAAGTATATAATAATAAGGAGCTTGAAAAATAATTTTGATATAAAATTCAGGAGATCAATAATAAGTTTTTAGTGGACTAACTAAATATTAATAGATTGTAGAATGTTTGTTCTAGGTTGAACAAAGGAATCGCAGGTCCATTGGAAGCTCAACTCATATTTTTCCTTAAGATTTTTGTCGTAGCCTATATATATAGACGGTTAAGTTCTCTAAATTAGTATCAATTCATTACTCACGTTTTGAGAGAGGTAAAGAGAGAGCAAAAGTTCAGAGGTCCTTACAGCCCACACTGCATCCTGATTTTTGGTGTTGAGAGATATACGACAGAAGATCATGAGGTTCAGTGAACTGCTTTCTGCATCTATCTTTAGCTTCTGCATTCATGCTGAGATGAGATCAATTCAGAGCGATCTCGAATGTAAACCCTAATTCTATCTTGTAGGGTTTTAAAAAAATCTTATATTCAATACATACACGCTGTCAATAATTCTTGAGATTTTCATTCCAACATTAATATCAAATTCATGGAGAGATTGTACATGAAGTTGCCAAAATTTAGCTATAATAAGATTACACACTTACAAGACACAAAATTTAGAATCCTCTCACATCTAAATAATGTTGTAGCCTCACAAATTAATATCTATCTATTTTCGCAACCTTCCAAAAGAAATCCCGAAATCCATTTTTCTGTTCAAGAGTATTGGGAATTGCATCTTCAAGAACATAATTGCTAAGAATTGCTACAAATTGCATCTTCAAATCAATAGATATCTAAGCCGACAAGAATAAAACGAGCCGCCTCTAAGAACCTTTTGAACTCCCATTGGTAACGATGCAAAAAACACATGAACAAGTTCCAGTCAAAGCAATTGATTGAAAAGACTCAAAACTCTCTCTCTCTCTCTCTCTATGGTGCCATTGGAGTAATAGGCAGTGCATGGTGGTGATCAAAAGCCTTGGGCAACAAATTGCATGAGGGTAGAATAGAAAATAATAATAATAAAAAATAGATTATTGGACCTACTTACCTAATATTATACATCATATGTCCTTAATAACCCAATAAGTTTGAACCTATCCTTCTTATTGGCAAAATAGATTGTCATATTATCCTTGGTTTCAATTTTCACTTAAATAAAAGTAAAATGGAAGAAAAAAAAAATAGGCCCATTAGGATTGACTCATTGGGTGGTTCGCTAATGCTGGTAGAGTGAAATATTGGGTGGAAGGAAAATAGGATAGAAAGAAAAAAATTTCACCATCCATTTGGTTGAGAGGAAAAATGGGATGGAAATGAAAGTTGGAATGATTCTCATTCTTCCTTGCCCACCAATTTTTTTGTCCAAATTTGGACAAAAAATAGAAGGAAAAAGAGAGAGGTTGGGTTATTCATGATGATTTTACCTTATTGCCCTTTATTTATTTCTCATCTATCAAACATATGCATATACGTTTTATACAGGACGAAGACAACTTGAACAGGAGTTAGCTCAATAAGCATGTCACTGTCTAGCTGAATCCCAATGACCTCTCTCTCTCTTTCTTTGATTTAACAAACTCACAATTTAAATTGTGACGGAAAAAATTATTTTGTTAAAAAAAATAAACAAAGCGTGTTATTTTGATATAGAAAATTTATTTGCTATCTCTTACCAAACGTGTTATTTCAAATAGTTTATTTCTCATACAAATTTTTTTTTCCATATGTAAGGATATAATGGTAAAGTAACTCTATAATATTTTCTTTCCTTTCATTTGTTCTTTGATACTAAATAATAAAAAATTAATTTCTCCAACTTTTTACCCTTCATACTAAACAAAAAAGAGAGAAAATATTTTTCTATACACATAGGATAGAAAACATATCCCCTTTATTTTTTTTATTTCTCTAACTTTTCATTTCTCCAACTAAACAGACCATAGGGCTCATTTTGATTAGCTTGTAGATACTTTTGGTAGGTTGGTTGGCCCGGATCATTGACCAGCCAATGACCCTTGTAGCCCGACCCTTGGCCTGCACAGGCCTATGGCTGCGGCCCATTGCCGACTAAGTCTTCTTCAACCCTTTTATATTAGTAAAATTCTCATTTGCGAAGCATCTTCAATTCCAAGAAAAAGAGTGCTAAAATTGTCAATTTGGTTTTGGGCGAGCATCAACCCCACCCCCCACCACACAAAAAATTCCCCTTGGGAGAAAAAGGGGAAATAATGGTCAGCAAACGTTAACTTCACTGCAATTTAGGAAGCAGATAGTACTCTTACAAATAGAAAATTCTAACACAACACAACTACACCCCAGATGACAATCATTGAATTTGGGAGTAATTTGAATGGTATTGAAATGGGTTAATCATCATCCGTCTGTACTTTTGAGATCACTCACAGCCACAGCCACCTATTTTCAGTAAACGAGCAAAAAATGTACTAAACAGACTCTGCACAACTAAAACCTTGCAGCTATATTCTTTGTCTTTACCTTCTGGAAAACCAAACAAAAAAACTCTCACCTAAAATGCTGCTTCTCCACATATTGCAATTCTTCTCATCACCATGCAGTAAAGCAAACAGTAAAGAACATCAGCAGTGTGAAATACAACTTTACATATCCACGAACAGTAGATGCTGACGAAGTGGTTTCCTGTGGCCTGAAATATAAACAAAGTGGTAAGGGGCAGGTCAAGAGCTGACACAAATGCACGCACACACACACAGAGATAAGGAGAGTTTTGTTATCATACTTTTGCAAGTGGGCGAGGGCACCGCAAAAAAGAGCATTATCAGGAACAGGCAATTCCGTTTTATTGCCAGTATCTTCAGGGTTGATAATTCTCATATATGTCTCTTGGCCTAGATACCACCTGTCAAGGTTTTCTGCTCTAAGATTCCACACTCCAACGTTGTCAAGAGATATCATGATTGCCGTCCATCCACCAGAGAAAACCTTAACACAGGAGAACAGCATAAATCAAGGGAAGATAATGTTCAATACTGACCACAGATGAAAAAAATTAACAGATAATTTTACGGGCTGTGTAGCTCTATATCTAACACCAATCAAAAAAGGCAAGTCCACTACATGTTAGATGGAACATAAAGAAAACAAAGCGCCAGAAACAAAATATATTGTCAAGTTGTTAGAACAGTTTATCAATCAAACTTCAACAATGTTTGATTGATAAGCTAAAAACTTGGCCGGTAGGGTTCTTATTGCCTTCTTTTTTGAACCAAATGATCTGGTTCGAATATGTTCGATAATGTGATGAATAATGTGAACCAAAAAAACTAGGGCACAAGTTTTCCTTGTCCTTGGATGGCAAATCATAAGAACTGAAGAAGTAGTTCCCTAGGAACAAACCTGAGTAGTGCTGCGAGATATTGCATCCCACTTATTATATGAGCCCCTGCTATTTTCTGTCCATTCCCCATAACCCATCCTGCATTATAATAATCACATTATCGAAAAGCACAAGTTGTCATTCACATTTAATTGCTAATGACGCTTAGATAAGAACTATACCCGACCACAAAAAACGAGTAACCATCTATGTGGAAGCTCTGCACTACTGTGTCATTGTTCTGCAATACAACTTCTATAAATCCCTTGTATGTAGCATTAATAATGGATATGTCAATCTGGGGAGTTCTGTTCATTGGCTTGGTCGGGAAATCAAGCTTGTAAGCACCCTTCACTTTGAATGAATCTGCAAGCCTAATTGGAGTATCAGGGTTGACAAAAGAAATCCCATTAAATGTAGCTTTCAGTTTCCCATCAATCATCACAGGTGGCACACTCTTTAATATATAGTCGTCAGTAACATTGATTGAACCATAATGAAAAGAACCCTGTGGATTGGGACGAGCGCCACTTGCAGATACATTTTGCCTGATCAAATTGAATATAGAAATATGTTAATCAATAGATTTAATACATAATATTTAACAAGAATCTTAATGAAAGATGAGAGAGAGAGAGAGAGAAGATGGGGGAGCAAAATTTGAAAGTGACAGAATTCTATTATTGAGAAGGAAATTAGAATTTGGTCATCAATCACAGCAGTGGGCGCCAACAGATTTTAAGACAATTCTTAATTTCTCGAGAAGAATATGAAAATTGTGGCCACAAATATCTTATGATGGCGTTTATAATGATTAAAAGATACTAGTCTTCTTCTCCAGGAAATTTTTCTTCCTGGTCAATGCTCTTCTCATAGAAATGATAGGACAACCAGCGTTACTTCCGAATCAATTTCAACTTCTCATCATTAACTGCCATTTACGGAAGGTTTTCACAAACCCTTGCTGTATAACATCTCTCTCTGAGAAGGTCTGCTTTCTATCCAAATAAATTGTCAGTGTCAATTTAAGACATGTTCATCTCTCTCCTTTTTGAAGAAAATCTGCCAAAATTCGTTGTTAAATACCAATTCTTGGAAACCTTAAAGTTCAAGGAAACGGAAAAGAGAAAAACTACAGTGAATATCTGTCACAAGCAATGGTAGGGATACACAAATAAAGCAAATTCATTATAAGAGGTCCAGGAGTTGATTGCAAAAATTAAGAGCCCACAAAAAATGATGGGAACCAACCTGATGGACATTGCCTGGTTCAATGCATAGGATGTGTCATAAACATCATTTGGAGGGTCGGGGAGAGGGCCAGTTACCTTTCCTTTGGAATTGGAATAGTGCAAGACAGCAACACCCGTAACTCTTTGCCACACAGTCTGATTCACAAACCTAGCACTTGCTACAATGTAATAATCACTACTAGCATTCTGATCCATGGTAACGAGAAAAGAGTAAGACTGCCCAACATGGATATCGATGCTTGTATAATTTTGTTGCGAAGTGTAATATCCCTCTGTTTCAGCCAAGAGCAAATTATGGCTCTGGATTCGGAAGTTCAAACAAGTTGAGACTCCAACATTGTGCACACGGATTCGATAAGTTTTGCCTGCAGTACCATCACCCCAGCCATTACAGGTTAAACTTAAAGAAGCTCAAAACTGAGCAAGAGAAAAAAATTCGATAACAAAGGACCCTTATAATGCAAAAAATAACTAGATATGTATTTAGCCCAGGTTTAATTCAATAATATTTTCCCAATTCCCAGTGGGTTCACTTATAAAACGTCTACATCCTATCCTTCAGGGTGAGGGAATGATTTATTTGAAAACCGTTTGCCATAGACTTCAATTCAAGACTTTAAGGGCCCCAAAAATGAAAAAACAGCATTTTTCCTATTAAGTCACATGTAATGATTGTCCTGTTCAGGAGTGCATAGCAGAAACCGCAATGAAAGAGATATAACTCAAGAACACACTTGTATAGAAGCCAGCTGCACAGACATGACAAATAAAAACAATATATTAATGGCACAGGGACAAGCTAGTCCACAGCACTTCCAGTATGTGAACATTCAGCATCTGTTATAGTTATTAGCACAGCAACAAGCCAATCAATCCACTTAAATGGTTGCCAAACACTGTGCATCTAACCCGTTGAATGGGTTATGGGCATCTTAGAACAACGTAGAAATCAAAGTGTTTATCTCCAAACAATTGAGCACCAGTGTGTTGAGTAAAAAGGAACCACCAACAAATCAACAAAAATAACAGTGGTAGTCAGTTCATCAAATTGTCCAAGTTTTCCTCGAATGCTCAGGAAAATAAGTAGAATCAAATCAAATGCAGCAATCCTGAAAGACGTAACATCAATGTCTTGGAAGCATTACCTGGGTCAACATTAATTGTTTCATAATCAATACCATCTGGGACAAGCGTGGAGTTGTATCTGAAAGGACCCTTCCCATTAATGAGAACCCCATCTGGCATACCAAGGTCGTTTCCAGCATCAAGGGATTTCCTCAGTGCCTAACATAAAAGAGAGCGAGCATTAGATGGCACCCCGAAAAAAAAATCAGAGTTGAATCGAGTGTTCCCAACATAACATATACCAACCGTATGGTTTCGGGTATACCAGTCACCAATAATGATGACTATATCCCCATCAGGCGTATTGAAAGGCAGCGGGATGATGTTACGGTTTGTAATTATAAAAGAACCAAAGCCACCAGCTGCTCTCTGAAAATTGAGAGAGGGGAAGTAAAAAAAGCTACCAATCTGATCCTTAACCTGAAACTGGTACGTCCAATTCCATTTTGGAGGGATTGGGCAATTTGTACCAAGAACACCATCTTGCCAAGAAGAGCGGCGCATTTGGACTCCAGACCTGTCAAAACCCAAAGAATCCCAAATCTATTAAAAAACACTTTCGAAAAACAACAATTTTCAAGGAAAAAAAATAATTGGCGATTAAATAGATGAGATATTGAAACTTACCAAGTAATGAGAAGATTCTCATCCAATTTGTTCTTCACATTTACCACAACATTGTAATTAGTAGTAACATTGAGAGTAGGTCCTGGAAACTTCCCATTAACTGCTATGACCTAAAATAGAGAACAAAAACAGAATTAACATTTTAGTAACGTATCTTCTTCCAGATGAGCTACACCTATTATCTGGGCAAAAATATACTAAGAATGAAAAAGGAAAAGAACAAAATCAAGAAGCACAGACAGCTCAAATGGAACTTGTAAACCAAATCATCTTCAGCAATGCTGAAAATAAGTAATCTGATTCAACAACGTGCACAGATTACAGGCATAAACATGAAAAAACATAAATAAATGACCCATTTATCAAAAAATAGAAAGTAAAAGTAATAAGAAAATACCATAACTCAGGACTGATCCATAAATGAATACCCCATCTACTTCATTAATAGCCACTTCCTTGTTCAACATAATTTACAACAATATCCAAAACTGACTACAAAAAATACAAAACACCACAAAATTATACGCCAAAATCATTCATAGTGACACCTGCGGTCCCTCTTGGTGCCCAACCCACTCTTTGACTCAGCTCTATCTACAACATCAATCGTAAGTTACTGCCAGGAAAACCATTAAGAACGCAAAATAGAGATTGTCATTACTCAAGAATAGCATTTGGTACACTAATCCCTTTCACCAATACCCTAGTCCCAATTTCAGTATACTATACAAAACAGAGTTTCAATGTTGGAATTCTAAGCAATCGCTGTTGTTCATTGGAAGATCAACTCTGTTCTCGCCCCTTAACGTCTGGTACGATTGCCACTCTGTCTAGACGTTGTAGAGAATTGAGAATTCTAAGTTGTTTCAGACAAAATAAAAGATGAGTAAATACATAAATGTATATTCGTTTATAAACGCGTGTTGTAACCTTAATCTCTTCCACTGATAATGAACCCCATTTTCTAATAAGAACAACGTGCAAACTCATGGAAAAAAGCCACCGATTCGTGCTTATTTCAAGAACTAAAAAGTAAGAAACCATTGGAATTCTCACGAGAAAAAAACAGTCCCACATGAGAAAACATACACGGACACAGAGAGGGAGAGAGAGAGAGGGTAGGGACCTGTTGAGGAACAGCGAGTGGAGAAACAGTGATGTAAGAGAGCTCTAAGTCGAAGTTGGCAAATGGGTCCGCGGCGAATGAAAGATTCGTGAGGTTGAAGAGCAAAACAATGCGAAAGAGTGCAGAAATGTGGATTAAAAGTGACCCCCTAATCGACGCCATGTCTCAGTATGCTAGTTTTTGCGATGAACTCTAAACTCTCTGTCCACAGAGAGAGAGAGAGAGTAAGCTGCTTGGGCCTCTCCAAGTTCCAGCCCTAAATGCTCCCAATTCTGGAAATGTGCGGCGTAAAGCGCGTTCAATGACTGGTAACGGCTTGAAACTGCTTTTTCTGAGAATCGTTTTCCCTCCATTATGGAAAATTGAAGAACTTTTATCCTATCTGTCTAACTTTTTAAAAAAAAATTAATTTGTCAAATTTATTTAAATTACAGATATATATATATATAACAAAAAAATGTGTCAATCTCTTTTAGCTATGCAGAAGAAAATAATAAAGTTACCTTTACAAAATTTGTTTATAAAATTTTCTATTCCAATTAACACGGCGCTATATTATTATTGTATTTTAGTTTTAAATTATAGTGACCGGCTATGGCCGGTCATAAAAGAAGGGTGAGAAACACGAGGGAGTGAGTGAGACAGCCAATCGACAGTCAGCTATTTTTAATTTTGCATTTGGGCTCGCCGTCTCTGCCCTTTCTTGATGGATTTACGCCCAAAAGTGCCACTCGGTCAGGTGTGTAGCCCCCACTAACCCAAATCCATTTGATTATCCACTATTTAATGCCCTTTTGTGCTGTGTGACTGTATTATTCATGCCTGTATCCGTATACGGTATCTCTATTGACATTTGTTTTTATTATAATCAAATTGAACCTATCGAGTTTTTTTTTAAAAAATAAGTTTAAAAAATGAGAAATATTGCAAGGACCTAATAATATGGTTTCAATGCAAACAGTAGAATAATTATGAATTCTAATGTTAAATGGAGTCCAAAATCAATTTTATAGTTGTACATTATTAGGTTCCCAAATTAGATCCAAATAATATTTTATTTAAAAAATTATTCAAATTCGACTCCCTTAGAATGCAAGTCGAGCTCAAAATAAGTCAAACTCGAGCCAAGTCTAAAATAAGCCAAATTCATGCCGAGTATATGATTAACTTGACCATTTTATATATAAATAAATATAGTTATGCGAGCTCGAGACGAAATTTTTTAGGGTCGTTTTTTAAATGAGCCTACAAAATTATTCAAGCTCAATTCATTATCAAGTTTTATTCGAGTCGAACCTAAATCAAACTCGAGTAACTCAGTTCTATTATCAACCCTAAACTATGGTATCTTAAAAAAAAAAAAAAAATTGTACCATTTTACTTACCATTTTTTTAAGACATTTATACTATTTTTTTGGGGTGAAATATACTAATTTTTTAAATTCACTTATTATTTTATTAGTTTATTTACTATTTTTAAAATTTGATTTCCATCAATTTGATTAGTGGCCCCACCTATTCCCCTTGACCTGGTTCACCTTGAGGAATGTCAGGTTTAGCTAATTGTTTTCTGCTTAAATTAATTAATTCAGGTCTAGTAACACAAAGGATAAATATTATTTAATTATAGGCATAGGAAAAAAAAAAAAGGAATGTGACAGAAATAATTTTAATTTCAGAGGGAAGCAACCTGAACTATTTAGGTTGCTTCCCTAGACTTTTTGAAAAACTGCAAATTGTCCCGATATATTCATGGCCCAATTGAATTTCTTGGATTTGTCATGCATTTAACAATAAAATAATTATAAAGCAAATCACTTTGCCCCTGGAATTAATTCAAAGGTTATACTGTCATTTGATATATTAGCATACTAGTTATTACATGTATTCGAAGACACAAAATAATAAAAAATAGTAAACAACAAACATAAAGAAGAAATAAAGAAATTTAAGCATCGATTTGTAGTGGGGGGGTGAGAGATGGTGGGTGGCAGTGGTGATGGTAGGAGACAGTAATGGTTGTGGTGGGGCGACAATGACCGTGGTGGCGATGGTGAGGGCGGCAACGGTGATGGTGGTGGCGACGACAACGGTGATCACAGCGATGGTGTCGACAGCGACGGTGATGGCGGGGGGTGGTGGTGGCAGTGGTGGCGGTAGCGATGGGTGTGGGGGCGATAGTGGTGGGGGTGGCGGCGACGATGATGGTGGTGGTGGCGATAGCGGTGGCAATGGTTGTGGAGGCAACGACGATGACGGTGGTAGTGGTGGGGAGTGGGAATGGTGGTGGCGGTAGTGGGACGGTTTTAAACACTATTTTTTTAAAAAAAAATATGAGAAATAATTTTCTAAAAATATTTTTAAAAAATCACTTCAAACATACTTTTATGAGCCTATTTTTTCTATTAAATTTAGAGTGTTAATATTAGTCGTTAGATTAACTTTAAAGTAAAATTTAAAGCGATGTCAACTGCGAATAGAAAAAGTCATTTTGTTTATTTTTTGAGATTTGAATTTTAAGCTACTTTATTTTATAGATTGAACGAGTTTAAAATGATTTTTTTAGGTAAAAATCTAAGATATGAAACACTATGCAAAAACAAATATAAAAAATTCAAAATTAAAAAAATCTCTCAAAACCGTTTGGGGTACTTTTTAAAAAGTTAAAAAAGCTTGTGTTGGAGTTATTTTTTAACTTTTTGGCTTTTTTTGTTTCAAAATAAAAAAATAATTATATGTATGTATAAATTATGTATGCTAGTTCCCAACATATGAATTTTAATTTTTTGTACACTAGAAATAATATTTTGTGAGTATAATAAATTGTTAACTAATGTAAAACTCGCAAAATTTTTTTTAAAAATTAAAAAAAAAACTTATAAAATCAATTTTTTGAATCTGCCTAAATATGAACTCGAATTTTAATTTTATAACCGTATCATACCATAAGATGCTCAAAGAAAAAGTAAAATATTCCTTAAAAAAGTATCATTTAAAATATAAGTTGCTGAAAAGAGAAAAAGGAATAGGTGAGAAACATAACAGATTTCTGTGGATACCCAAAAAATATCCATAAAACAATTCAAAATATTATGTTTTGTTTACAGATACCCAAAAAAAGTCGTGCAAGGAAAGGATATTATATTTAACTAAAGCAGAGACATATGCCATGTATTAAGGAGCAATTGACTGCTTTGATCCCGCAAAAAGGTTTGAAATCAAAGAAGCAAGTCATTTTTAATTTTTAGATACCAAATATGTTATGTACCCAACCTAGTGGTTCATTCAAAGTATCAGCTACTACTGAGACTGATTCTTTTATTAATGGGTCTTTAATTCAATGATAATCCTTATCTTGTGAATATTTTGTCTTCTTAAAGTTAAGGGTTCAAGTCCCCCTTCCCCCTCCCCTCCCAAAAAAAAAAAACTATTGAGACTGAGTCAAGTTAGTTGTATCCAATTTTGCATTTTTCAAGGCGGTATCATTATATGATACGTATAACCCCAAGTCTAAGTCGTGAAAATTGTATCCTAGTCGTCAGGTTATCGTCACCAAATTAGTCGAGACGAGTCCGTGATGCCATGATATAACATAAATCTCTCATCATGTTTAACATTTTTTTTAGGTCGTAGCACTTGATACCACGCCACGATGTCGCAATCAATGTGTTTCAAAATCTTCCAAGCTATGAAACACGGATACTTTGTCGAGGTTGACGTACTCGTATCCGATATCGTATCTGATATAATACTCATCGGATACTTGAGGATATGTATCTGATACACCTCATACGTATCCGATAATTATGATACTTCACAGATACTTTTGTGATCGAACAACATATATAATTTTTGAGTTAAACTTTTAACATCTTTTTTCTAATTTACATACCATACAATATGATGATGCACAAAAATGGTTTTGCACACCATCTGTCAAGTGTAGATAATATATGCAGTGAAATCAATGAAGGAATTAAAGAAGACACAATTTATAGTGGTTCGGTCAATTCGATCTACGTCCACTCTTCAATGGCTTCAGTTGCCGGGTATTTTATTGATTCAAAGGTATAGAGAATGGAGATACAAGCTTTGAGAGAGAGAATGGAGATACAAGCTTTGAGAGAGAGAATGGAGAATCAAAGAAAATAGTAATCTCCGGTAGTCGGTTCGTCCTCTGTAAGTCTCTGGTGGGCGCGTGATATTCATCCTTCTTTTTTCTACCAGATTGGAGCTATTTTATAGCAGCTAAGAGATCATTCTTGTAGAGATCATGACATATCCTCAAGGCTTCTTTATCGCAGCTAAGAGATTATTCTTGGTGGAGATCACGACTTATCCTCAACGGAAGGAGGAGGTTGGGGAGCTCTTCATGAAACGTGGTCAAAGATTGGACCGTTTCCTTCGGTGGTGCAGATAAGCTTCCCGTGCTCTCCTCTTGGTGACGTGCTAAGCAAGAAGTCTAATCGGCCTTGGACTATCTTGGACTTGGTGGATTTGGACCGTTTCCTTTGGTGGTGCAGATAAGCTTCCCGTGCTTTCCTCTTGATGACGTGCTAAGCAAGAAGTCTAACCGGTCTTGGACTGTCTTGGGCTTGGTGGAATCAAAATGAGGTTGAACTCCTCAACTGGGTTTGGACTTTAACACATAAATTGGACTATTTGGGCTTAACCCATCACAATATATTAACAAAAAATTTATATTACTTCAAAGGCACATTAGTGTTTTTTAAGTATTATCTACAATTATATGTCAAAAGTGTATTAAATAAAACTACTACATTATTATCTTAGCAAAAATTACTTCTAAATATTAGGTAAATATTAGCTTTGATTCTTTTAATTAATCATTTTACGTTGTGAATATACTACAGCAATACGATATATATTTTCTTAAAACTAAAAAAAATTATTAATTTTCCTTATTGTATATTAAAGAACTATCAAAATATATAAGTATTAAGCTAGTTCAAAATAATAAAATTATTAAATATATTTTATTATAGTTATATCTTAGTCGTACATGTATTCTACTTTTTTAGATTTTATCGTATCACCGTATTCATATCGTATCGTCCATATCCGTGTTTCATAACTTCCGAGTCTTCGACGAATACTGCAACCTTATACCATGGCCTAGTGCCCACACCTCAAATCAAATCGGTTTTCTAGGCACAATTTGATTTGAACAGACACAATATAAAGGTAAATTTCTAATGGATCCCCCTTACACCGACACAATTATACAAACACCCCCTCACGTTTATTCATCCCCAGAATCGTGTCACTAACTTGATTTCTGATCTTGGTGGCGCAAAATGAGATGCAAAAAACTAGTACAATTTGATGAACATCCAAAAGAATGCTTTCTGCAATGCAGGGAGAGACATCCATACAATCAATAATTCATGCCAGCAGAGGCTTCTGCATTTTTTGTTCCATTTTCTGGACAAACCAAACGATAAATGAAGGACTTAATACACAGGTGGGCTAGGTGAAGCTGTGCATTACAATTGATCCAAGGGAAAGGGTGAATATCTGCTGAATCAATGTGCCAAATCTTTACTGATGCCTTGACACTCACTCCTGTGGCATTGTTAAACAGGAACACCCGTGCTGCTCCATAAATTGCTGTTGTAGGATAAACTCGCGATGTGATGACTGTCCTCCCTCCTTGAGCGAAGCTCTCCACTATGGAGTGATCAACCTGAATGGATTTCTAACTGTTGGGATTTCTCACGATTTAAATCCACTAACAAACACACACAATCGAAGAATAAATCAAAAATATAAAGCAATAAGAAACAAGAAAGAACAAGACACAGATTTTACGTGATTCGGCAATTTGCCTACGTCCACGAAGCTGCAGGGATTTCACTATTGAGAGAGTTGAATACAGAGAGCGGCTGTACCATCCACAATTAACCCTAATCACCAAAACAACAGGGTTTATATGGACGCACTGGGCTGTATAACGGGCCCAAAAAATTTTTTTCCTCGGGGGCGTTGCCCCCGAGCCCCCACGAGGCTTGTCCATGAGCGCTACGGCTTGGGCCTATCGGCCCAAGCCTTCGCTCCATGGACTAAGCCTCAGAAAATTTTTCATTAAAAAACCACACAACATTATTTCGGGTCGGGTCATCATCCGGATCACATATACAAACTAGACTCCATAAAAATAAACCAACACTAACAATTTAGATTTACGCCCAAGCAGAAGAATGCAGAGTGTTGGATTTGGTTTTAGAACAAAATGACAGAACATCTTCTGAGCTTTGGCTTCCCCTCTAAAATACTCTTCAATACTCAGTTTGTTACACAATGATGGAGTTTCATTTTGGTATGCCTCCACTATGGAGTGGCACTTTAAGGTATTCTACAACTAAAATTCTTCCAAAAACACACCATGTTTTTCCCTTGGACCCTAGTTGAACTACGAGTGCCTTAACAACATATTTTGGTGTCTAATTTTCCCTACTTTTTTTTGGCTTTTTAAACTAATGTGCAATTCAGTGAAGCAAATTTCACGATCATAAGGTTGTGATCGATTTGCATCAAAGATTGTAGTAGTATTCATAATCAAAACATTAAAGAGTATTATTTGAATCCAAAACAATAATAAGAGATTCTCACGCACCAATAGCCTCATAGATAATTTTTCACCATTGAGCACAGGAACCTTGCTTCCATAAACTTGTTTGCCAACATCAGAAGCTTTTGATGACCTGCATTAAACAAATAGTATTTTCTTGTTTCCATAAGCTTATCCATTGATTTACTTACACTATAAGAAATGTTACATTTAAGAAACAAGAAACTTCTGTGCATGGGTTAAACAAGAGCATATTAAGAAGCTGCACCCCAGCAGTCGTTAACGATTTGATTCGCAAAATATGCTACAGGCTATTGTAATGCACAACACATACGCTCAAGAGAATATTAAGCAGGGTAAATGAAGACAAGAGAAAATCACGACTAGAAAAAAGAAAAGAAATAAACCTTGTTTCATCGGCACAGAAGTATGTCTCAGCACTCCCATCAGTGCCTTTAGCGTTGTAGAAATAAACAGGTGTAAGCTCAGAATGAGTTTCGTCAGCGAGAACTAGAAGGCCAAATGGTCCTAAAATGCCTCTACTGCGAGCCCCACCGCTAGTAGTGCAATTGTAACCCACATCAGCCTCAACGGTCGCCTCCAAGGCTTCTTTATCTATTTCAAACACGGCAACTATGTCTAACTGTCACCATTTCCAAACAATTGTCTCGTGTAATTTTTCGTGACAGCTATTTACATAAAAGCTATAGTAATCTTAATTAGTTTAGCAAAATGAAGCCCAAACCTGTGTAGCAGAGCCCACAACGAGTGGCACAACTGATCCTGGATGAAGATCCACCTCTTCGAATTCATGACTGCCCAACCTCAAACTCTCCACTTCCTCAACGGGCCATTGAAGTATATTGGTTCCTGTCTTCTTGTCAAACACCACAGTCCTTGGAATTGTCTATGGAACACAACAACGATTACAATGCATCACAATCTATCTTTCTACTCCAGAGTTACTGAATTCAAAAAGTTCAGCCCTCTAATTTGATTTCTGTGCGGGCTTGATCCTGCACGATATATATAAAATATTGGGAACAGATCTCTCCCCTGGTGAACTTTGGGCGAGCCGATCGAGTGGCCAAACACACTGCTCGAAACAGCTTACGATCCTGGGAAAGAAGGAACGATCCTGCACGTGCGAAAGGTATTTCCTGGGACAAAAGAGAACGAGTTAGAAGGGCGCCGGAGTGTTTTCCGGCATATCCCCTCCGACGGTCTAGTCAGTCTTTGAATGAGAGAGAGGAAGGAGAAAACACTTGAGAAGGATATTTCGTAGTTGAGAGTTTGTGATTGCATACCCGCTTTGTCTTTTGGGAGGGGTATTTATACCTTAGAAGATCATGATTGCTGTCAGTGTGGTCAGTAGGTAATCATCAGGCACAGGTAGCGTGTGTAATCATTTGATGAGGAATGTCTTCTCTAATTGATTGCTCGGGGTCCCGAACAATCAATGCTGAGTCTGTCGGGACGCCGACGGTACAATATGCTCCTGTCGGGAAGGATGCAATAAATGCTCTGTAATAGGAGCATTTATTGCCTTTCATATCCGAACCTTACCGCATTGAATGCGGTCTCGTCAACAGAAGGGTGCAATTAATTGTTTGCTTTCCCAAGTCGCGTGTCAGCAACGGCACGCGGTTTGTCTGCTTCGGATGTGACATTATTTGCCACGCGTCCATCCCTTATTGGCTGTTACGTCGGTATTCCAGCACGTTCTGACATTACTTGTGTAAGAAGAGGTCATGATGAATAACCCATACTGGCATAGGCTGATGTCCAGTATGTCAGTAGCTTTATCCGGGAGTAGAGGAAGCGTCCAGGATGGAGTGACCCTCGGTGCCGAGGAAAGGCTCACCTCGGGGACCAAGGGGTGGTGTGTTCCCGAGGTACATGGTGACCGAGGACACATGTCTTTGTATAATGTACCGAATGTGTGATCCTATATGAGAGGTACCTCGGGGAGAGGACGCCTTGCCGATGGTGCTCGAACCCGAGCAACTTTGTTCTAAAAACCCGAGGACACGTGTCTTCATCGTATGCTTTTCAGAAGAGTCCCATCAACTGCCCCCCAGCCTTCGATCTTCTGACACCGAGGACACGCGTTGTCAGGAGACGAAGGGTTTTTCCAACTGCCATCCGTCCTTCATTATGGCCTCGAGCAGCTTTCCCCGTCTTGGGATGTCGTGCGCATTAAATGCGCTGTTTTTGGTTCTCCCGCCCAATGATGACAGTTTCCCCCCTATATAAAGGGGGTTCTTCTCCGGTTTCTATCATTTTGCCATTCCGATCTCTGACCCAGAATACGCCTTTTCCGATCTGCTCGCCGGAGTTTTTTGTTTTCCTCAGCCATCGTCGACAGCATCTTCTCTTAAAACCTCAGTCAGTAAAACCCATTGTTGACTCCTGATCCTTCCGGTGCGAGTTATTTTCAAAGTTTTTCCTGAAAAACTCCGTTTTCGACGTCTTCTGGTGAGTTTCGCAACCTTCTTCTTTATCGTCCCCCTAGCCTTCTTGCTTTCCGATTGAACAGTGGTGTCATCCGGTCGGTACGTCTCGATTTAAACCCTCGGGGAACTTCCTCGGGTTTTCAAGAGAGAACACCTTTTCCTCCCCTTTCTTTTTAGAGATGCCTCGTCGTCGCCCTGTTCCCGAGAATCCATCGGCTGGTCCCTCGGGGTCAGGGAAATACAAGGTGACGGGCGAGGCACAGATCGATAGGTTCAGGGCGAAGTATGGCATCCCTCCGAGCGTGGACGTAGTGGGTTTTAACCCTTTGTTGTACTCTCCTACCTTCGGGGCCACGGATGCCATGCCTTTCTACACCAAGGCCATCATAGAGGGTGGCATTAGGTTTCCTTTACCCCCCCTGCTTCTTCAGTTCCTGTCTCGCTTCCGTCTCTTCCCCGGGCAATGCTGCCTCAACGTCTTTCGGATAATTATGGGGGTCCTAGAGCTCAATAGGCGCCTCGGGGTGAATATTGGGCTCAACGACCTCCTTTTCTGTTACTCTCTCCTAAGAGTCATGCCCCACCAACATTTCTACCTCAAAGCCAGGGACCCCTCTATGTACCTTGTAACCCATCTTCCTGACTCGGACAAGGGGTACAAGGACGACATCTTGATCTTCAAGGGATGTTGGGAGAGGGGTGTCGGTCCCGAGTACAATGACCTATTTTGCCCTCGGGAATGGAGAACGACAAGTACGTCGGTTCCTTTGGGTATTTTTATTTGTTTCTTGGGACTTCTCATGTTTATGACAATCTTTTTTGTTGTGCAGGTATTCCTTCTCGGGAAACAGCTCCACCCCCTCGGTCGCTGGTCAATTTTGGCGACTTAACAACGGTTTGGAGTTTCACGGGTGCCGACGGATTTGGCCGAGCTGCCCATAATTTGCTGCACTATACCCCCGGGTATAAGAAGTTCTCACAGCTCCCTCAACCTTTCGAGCCTTCGCAGTGGTCAGAGCTCTTTGATCAGGCGGCGAGGCTAGAGGTCGAGCAGAACTTGGAGGAAGACCCGGATCGGGCTTCAGAGGGAGAGGTAGAGGGAGTTGCTGAGGAAGTCGGGGTCAGAGAGGACGTTGCTCCTTCGGACGCCGAGGTGGGGACTTCGGGAGGCGACTTGTGGCCCGATTTTCAAATTCTCCAATCTTTGGACGCCGAAGACGCTCTCGAGGAAGCGATGTCCAACGCCCCTCGCATTAATTTGGGGTTTCTTAGGCAGAGGCAATCCCTCGCGGCCGGGAGAGGTCGAGGGACGGCCGGCGGTACTCCGGCAGGAACCAGCTCTGCCCCCTCATCAAGGGTTCCTGATCGGGGTCAGGTGCGAGATCGGGACCCTCAGGTGGAGGAGGAGAGGAGGGTGAAGCATCGGCACGATGGCCTCAGCCGAGGACCCAGGGTGCCTCCCGCTCAGCAGCAAAGCGGGAGGGATCGTGGATTACCCTCTACTCCCTCACAACCGCAGCAACCGCAGCAGCAAACTCGACAACAGCAGCAACTACAGCAGCCCCGACAACAGCAGCAGCAGCAACAACAGGCTACTCCTTCCCTCCCATCCACAGTGGAGGCCGCGGTGTGGAATCCTCGGGCTACTGATCACATGAACCGAGTGATCAGGGTCGATGATTCCATTCTGCAGGATCCCCATGTCGCCTATGCAGTGAGTGAGACATTGCATTTTGAGGCTGACATGGAGGCTCATCGGGGGCGATCAACCAACGTGTTGTTCCGCTCCATGATCCAGAACTCCCTGGTGGTGAGTTTATTCCCGTTTCGATCCCTTCACTCTTGTTTTCTACTTTTGTGTTTTAACATTCTTTCCTTCTTTTACAGGCTGCCCAGCAGATTTCTATCATAGCTGGCCGGTACCACGCGTCCAGGATGGACCTTCAGAGGGCCAAGGATCAGAAGGCTGAAGCGGAAGCTGCCCTTGCTCGGGCAACGGAAGAAGTTGCTGCCAGGGATTCTACCCTGGCGGGGCAGGCTGCCCAAATAGAGCAACTCCTCAAGGACGCTGAATCGGCCAAGTTGGGCGCTGAGAAGCTAAGTGCCGCACTTGCCGATGCTGAGAGGAGAATTACTGAGCAAACGCAGCGGCTCTCGGCTGCGGAGGAGAGGGCAGTGGGCTCCGAGGAAAGCTGCCTGGCCCTTACCCAGGAGCTAGATAGGATCCGAGCCGAGGAGCTGAACCGGAAGTCGGAGCAACAACTTCTGGAGGAGTTCGCCGATGAAGTGCTCCCCGCTCTTGAAGAAAATAGCAAAGAGTTCTTCAAGAAAGGGTGGGATGAGGCGCTCCAGGCTGCTGGAGTCCCGTCAGACTCCCCTCTCTTCCAAGTGCACAAGTATGTGCCCTCGGCAGAGATGGAGCAGGCAGAAGCACAGGTTGCTGCCGAGGATGAAGCCCCTACACCGATGCAAACCTCGGCTGATGCTCCCGAAACGGTGATAGTGGACTTGTCCGAGGACGCTCCGCCCGACCTTGCCCCTGAAGCTCAAGCTGTTCCAGCTGTTCCTGCTGACGAAGTTCTTCTCCTACCCGCTCCAGAAGCTTCCCAACCTTTTATAGCTGATTCGCCCTCGGCCGAAGTTCTGGAAGTGCCGGAGCCCGATGAAGCTGCTTTTCATTTCCCCTTTTTTGTACCCCTTTTGCTTTCCTTTTGTAGCTTTTGGGGACGCAAAGCCCCTATTTCTTTTGGAAATAAATAGCATGCTTTCCCTTTACTTTCTTTGTGTACAGTATTGTTTTTGCTTTTCTTTACTTCTGTGTAGAATAAATCATAAGTGTCTTTGAACTGTCCTTGGGGCGCGCTGGTCTGTTCCGGAGGCGAGATCTTTGTATCTACTCTGGGAACTTGGGGTCCTTGTGTTTTGTTCTCAGGACCATTTCTTTATGAATGCTCGTTTCCACTTTTTGCTTTGGGGACAGTAGTCCTTGCACTCTGTCCCCAGAGCCATGCCGTTGCAGGAGGCTTGCTCCTGTATGCACTTCGGGGGCGAGAGTACTTGAACTCTGTCCCCAGGGCCATACCCTTGCAGGAGGCTTGCTCCTGTATGTACTTCGGGGACGAGAGTCCTTGAACTCTGTCCCCAGGGCCATACCCTTGCAGGAGGCTTGCTCCTGTATGTACTTCGGGACGAGAGTCCTTGAACTCTGTTCCCAGGGCCATACCCTTGCAGGAGGCTTGCTCCTGTATGTACTTCGGGGACGAGAGTCCTTGAACTCTGTTCCCAGGGCCATACCCTTGCAGGAGGCTTGCTCCTGTATGTACTTCGGGGACGAGAGTCCTTGAACTCTGTCCCCAGGGCCATACCCTTGCAGGAGGCTTGCTCCTGTATGTACTTCGGGGACGAGAGTACTTGAACTCTGTCCCCAGGGCCATACCCTTGCAGGAGGCTT